TTTTTCTTTTGGTGCTGAGGACTAAACCCAGGACCCTGGGCATGCTAGAAAAGCCCTCCTCTACTGAGCCACCCCCTGCATTTTAACAAGCCCCCCACCTTATGCCACACATGATAAAATTTGAGAAGGTTTATTTTAAAACATGTTCAGCCTATAAAGCAGGTGCTAGCTTGGTTCTCCGTGATAGCTGCCGAGCAGGTAGTCTGACGACCTCACATACGTGTTTTGCCAGTGTAGCTCTCACATAACTGGCCAAATTGCTTTCTTGTTCATGGCCTTATGCCCCTTGCTCCATTACCCTTCCGCTCTCTCATTCAGCAAAACTCCAGTCCAGCTCTGCTCGTACACCTGGGTTGCTGAAAAGACCGAATCATAAGTAGCTTGGGTTAGTGCCTCTGTAGATAGATGGCCCCTGCCCCTGAGCTGTGCTGTCCACATCCTAGTACTCCCTCTCCTGCTCTCCGTTTGCAGCCATCCTTGCCGAGAAGCCAGTGCCTAGGACAGATTCTGGCAACCTTTTGCTGAGCTCCACCCAGGGCTGACAGTGCCGCCACTGGCCCTGCTTGCCACTCTGGCATTGAGCCTACCGTATGGCCATTCTTGAAAAGATCCCCCAGATCTCTTGTCCATTAGCAGTGCGTATCTTATTTTTGATATTTTTTGGTACAGGGTCTCACTATGCAGCTCAGCCTTGAAGTGAGCCTCCTGTTTTCAGCCTCCTCAGAGCTAGGATTACAAGCATGTACCACCTTGCCCAGACTCAGTGGCCAGCTCAGCAGGCCCAGGGGCGGGACCAGTGTGGCATGTGGTGCCTGGTCCCTGTTCTTGCCTAAGCAGGCCCTTAGATTACTGACTGTCTCACTGGCCCATTTTTCCCTATTTTTGCTCTTTTTTTTTTTTACTGTTTAGTGTGCCATGCATGGCCCCTCATCCTGCAGTCAGTTGCATTCCTCTGTATTGATGGTGTTTCGGACTTCCCCATTCTCACATCACTTACCCCACCATCTCATCTCCTGTGCTTAGAAAGATGGGGCTTCTCAGTAGAGTAATCTCTCAGCCTCCAGCCACTCAGATCCTGAACACCACTGTGTCAACTGTCCCCTGTCTCCTGTGGGAAAGGAGCAGCCCCTGCCCCCGCTCACCCAGCCACAGCTGTTGTCCCAGAGTCCTTACCAGACATTGGGTCACCTCACACTGGCCCTGTCAGCCCCTCCCTGTGTCTGGAAGTGCTCTCCCTGTGGCGCCTGCTTTCCCACAAGCTCCTGGGTTTTCTTCTGCCTCTGGCTCCTTTTCAGTCCCTTTCCTGGGTCTCCCTTCTGTGTCATCTTTAAGTGGACCTCTCAAGGCTCTATCTCGCCATCTTCTCCCCTCAGCGGATGGCAGCCTCTGCATCCCGGCTCTAATACCAACCCCTCAACCCATGGTCTCTAAATAATCTTTATGTTGGCTTCTCTCTCGATCTCCCAAGCGACCCACCTAGTTACCTTCTGGTAAGTCCACATTTCCAAAAAGTCAGCTCCTAACCCTTTCCTCCTCCAGGTTCACCATCTCTCTGTATGTACAAAACCCTCCATAAACAGCCTCTGCCCTCTCCCTAGAGACCCATCTCGTGCTGCTTCCTGCCAGCCCCAGCCAAGCTGACCCCCCAGGGGCCCTGAGCCTGTGCACCCTCTCTGCCTACCAGGTCTCTGTGTGCACTTCTCCTTATGCCTGGAATGCTGGCTCCCAAAACCTCTTCTCTCCACCATCCCCCGCAAAATAACTGGACTAATTCCTGCTTAGTAGACATTCCTTTCAATATTACTTCTTCTAGAGAAATAGATTTTTAAAAAATAAACAAAACATTGACGTTCTGGTTGTTTTCTGTCTAGGTAAAGATAGAATTTAATACCAAAAAGGTTTTCAGATAAACACTTGAGTACACATTAAGTACATTTTCTCTAAACTTTAACTCTTTCCATCACTTACGAAACCTTATCTCTTTTCTGTCTTGTCCCACGCGTCATATCAAAGCCCCAGGTCTCATGCACGGGCCCAGTCCCCTGGCTTACGTATTCTGGGCTCATCCGTGTCACAGCCTGATGCTTCTGCTTTTGCCTCCCAGGAGTTGGTGGAGTCAGTTCTCCAGGCAAGGGGGCTATCTTTCCCAGGAACTGTGGCTCCCCCAGCATTGGGCCCAGGCCACCTTTCATGCAGGTTTTTGGGGTTTTTTAAATGTGTTTAGTACAGGGTCTCACTACATAGATCGGACTCATAGTGATCTCTTGTGTTCAGCCTCCCAAACGCTGGGATTACAGGCACGCATCACCAGGCCCAATCTCAATCTCTGCCTTGGCGTGCCCTGAGGGCAGGGCCGGCATGGAGGGATCACACTCCCAGCCCCTGCGTCTGCCAGGGTTGGGCTTTAAAGGCAGCTTTTGAGGCCCTTCGTTTTCTGCCCACCCTGTCCTTAGCAGTCCGTACTCCAGAGCAGAGGTGCTTCTTCGTGGCCGCCACACACGCTCAGTCTTCACCCCTTCTCTCATAAATACATTTTGCTTCCTAATTCAGGTCACCTAAATATTCAGACCCCCCCAAAAAAAAATTCAGAACTTCACAAAACAGTATTATAGGCAATGCATTCTAATACTTTATATTTTATTTCATTTTTTAAAAATGTGGTCATGACCCACTAAATTGATTTTATAATACTTTGATGACTTGTGATCTGTAGTTTAAAAGCGAGTGTTCTAGCTTATTCTGCTAAATCCTCTGAGTTTTTCTGTCTGTGTATTAATTACTCAGCTGGAATAGCTTTACAATTGTTTTCAACTAAAGCAATTCTAAAGACTTCTATTCGAAACTACTTTTATTTATTTATTGAAAGGACTGTGCCTTTTTCCTTTTTAACATGAAAAGCATATTTTGAGCATTACACAATTTTTAAATGGTTATAGAAGGTTTAGTAAGTTAATTAACAAGTATCTGTTGATTGCCTAGGTTTTGCAAAAGATGGTCTTAGAGCACTCTGTGTGTGGGGGGGGGGATTCCTAATATCCTTCATTTCAGGACTATAGAGATTAAAATCTCAATCGCTTTTGTAGCCACAGTTAATCAGATGTGGACCCTAAATCAAATAACCCAATGTGGTGGCCACCTGCCCTCCCGCTAGGATTAGCAGCAACTCGAGGGGGCCTTAGAGCTCCTACCTGTCCCAGTGCTGAGGGCTAGGACCTGGCATTTTTTGTGCATTTCTGGTAGGTGCCGTATTAGCCTCTTCCCCCTCTTCCCGTCATAAGGCGCCGCACAATCAGGTGACAATAATTTCAGGCAGCAGAGCGGTGAGCTAATGCTCTGGTATGTCACCCGGCTCTTCTCCCCGCTCAGCCCCCTGTTCAGAGCAAACGATCAGATCAGCGGCTTTCACTGTAGAGTTTCTTGACCCCTTTGGACTTGATGGACGTGTGAGAGGCTGTCGCAGTTGTTAGTTTTCCCATCCCACGGATGAAAACTGCAGCTCTGAGAGCGCTTTGCCCCATCCGCTGGCACCCTGGAAGTGTGTTTCCTCATGAGGCGCATCAGAGACAGCCAGCAACGCAATGTCTGGATCTCTGAAGTCACCTTCCCAGCACTGAGTTTCTAAGTGAGACGTGGCCACTCTCTGGTGCTGGCTCAGCCCCCCTGCTCCTGCCTAAGCAAGGGGGCGCACACAGGCTGAAGATGCCTCCCCCTCCCAGAGCTGTGGGGCACAACACCTGCTGTGCACAGCCCCCAAGCCTCTTGACTCTGTCTGTGGCACCTTCTCGTCCTTTCCTCCCACACCTTGCTGAGTTGAAATGGCGCTCACTCCAGGCGCCCCAAGAAAGGCTCCTGTCACACAGCTGCTGAGAGTAAGACTCTCTTTGCCATGACGCTGGAATGGAAGGAATGGAAGCGCGCGTGGGACCCCGCTGTGGTCTTGCTGTGTTTCCCTCCAGCTTCCTCCCCTGGAGGGGGGAAAGTGTCACCAGACGGTACTTTCGCGTCTCAAGGTAGAGGTTCTGGCGTGGTCTGGCTTTCTTGCCAAAGACTTTGGACTTCTCTGTTCACCTCCTGCCCCTCAAATGGTCCTCCGCCCCTCAAGGCCAAGCTTTTCTGCCAAGGAATGGAAGCAGGCTTTTTTCCTCCTAAAGCATTCACAAAATGCCCTCCATGTCTTCTCCCGCTGACTGCCTGCTCGGTGGCCCCAGGCACTCTCCCGTGGGTGCAGCAGGTGGCTGTCGGTAGGCACCTGCTACATCCCACACCAGGCTGGGGAAGAACAGGCAAGACCTGGTTCCAGAATCAGCCACCAGAGCCGGTTGTTGAAATTTGTGTCCCTGCCTTGCCATGGGAGCCGGTTGTTGAGTGGCTGAGTAGGGGTTTTTTTGACCTCTGAAAAGTAAAAGAAAGCCAGTCAAAGCAATGGGAGTCATTGTTGTGCATACAAGACATTTGTCAGTTTGGGGCCAGGTGGGCTCAGGTCGGATTCTTGGTAGATTGCTTTCTTTCACCTCACCCCCGCCTGTTTCTCCCCTCTGGAAGACCCACAGGAGCAGAGCGCTAATGGAAGTTTAGGCCTGAGAAACTCTAGTTGCCTAAAGTCTGCATTGAACCCTGTAGCCAAGCTACACCCATCTTGTCAACCGGGAGAAAGTGCCAGTGTGACTTCCTGGGCGGTCCTTCAGAGTCCCTATCCAGATGTTGCTGCAAAGAGGGAGTAAGAGAGGCTGTGGAAAGTGTACATGCTTGCCCAGGGGGCGGGGAGGGCTATGGCACCCTAGAGCCAGGCCCCTCCTCTGGAAGCTTTAACACAGGTGAATGGTTAACCAAAGGGAGGATTGTTCTCATCGCCTCCTCCTCTGCCAGAGAGTTCACCTTTAGTCATTGGCCCTTCTGGGGGGTGAACAATCCGAGCAACATAGTGCACATCATGGGTAAATACCCACCTTTACCTTGTACCCCACCTTCCAGTGAGAGGTGTGCAGGACCCCTCAAGATGGGATGGTTGGAGGAAGAAGAGACACATGCACACACAGTAAAAGAAAGTTGGAAATGACCTTCTGACTTGCTAGGAACTGGAATCCTAGATCTTAGATATCAAGAGAGCCGATTCATGCCAATCTGATTGCATTCAATGGAGGAGACGTTGGAGAGTGCCCATACCAGAAACAGCTGCCCAGCCTCTGTTAGGAGGTGGAAGAATTTCTGGAGACTTCTTCTAGCCTGTGCCTTGTGTGTCCTACCCCTACCCAAGATGTTCTGAACTTTGCTGGCAGAATGCCTCAGCACCAGACCTTCCCCCAGGATAGGTACAGGTTGCAGTTCCAGCCCTCTTGGTACTTACTCTGGTTTGGGGAGAATTGCCTTCAGAACCCTCATTTGTCCAGGATGGCTTTTTCTGTTCTCTGTCCCCACTGCATGCTCTCTGCACTGGCACATTCCCATTGTGGCCAGGACCAGTGCCCCATGTCCACTTTGACGTATAGGACAGCTTAGTGCTGTCCTCCAGCTGGATTGGGGAGTATGAGAGTGTGGCCCAGGCCCCACCTCTGGAGGCATGGGCTGGGCCTTGAAGGTTTGAGCTTCTTTCGTTTCATGCTTCATTCCTTGCCAAGCCACTGAGAGCTGCCTGTGAGCATACAGTTGGTGCATTTGAGCACGGCTTTGTGAGCCTTCCCTAAGGAACACGGCCACACTGCTGGGCAGCTTTGTATCGGGGAGGAGGCAGAAACCCTGAGGGGCTCCCCCAGAGATTGGCTTTCCCTCTGCATCCTGCCTACTGTAGCCCCACGAAACAGACAGGAGTATGGGAACTCAGTTGGTGACCAGGAAGCATAGGAGAGGGAGGAGGACACTAGGGTAGGCGAGTAAGAAGTCTGCAGAGCCCATAGGAGCTGTGCCATGGAATAGACCTGAGTCACCCCCTGCAAAGCACTCAGGGATCAGAGTCATCAGATTTTGTTACCTACTCAGCTTGATCTCAGTTCTTGCTGCACTCAAAGGTCCATTGTGTGATTCTCCTTAAAGAAATGTTTTATTTTCAATACAGACACAGCCCTTGAAGTAGCAGTAGAACACATCACCCCTGAGAGACACATGGCTGTGAAGTGTTTGGGTATGTAACCTCCTGTCTTTGCCTACATGGAAGGCTGTGTCCCATAGTTCTCTTTGTCCCTCAAGAGGGTACCCCCCCAACCCCTGGTGCTTGGGCTATAAGAGCCCCTGGAGTAAGGGCAAGAGGTTAGCTCAGACCCAGGAGGTCCCTTCTGCCAGGCACTGGCGTGGGATGGGGAACAGTTGCCGTCCTTCACCCAACAAGAGTTTCTTTGAGGACGCCACTCCCTGCCCCCCACTCTGAAGATGGAAGTCAAATTTTCGGACTCTGCTGTGCAGAGCAGAGAGGTCACTAGGCTCTAATGCATTTACCATTGACTGCCCCTCTTGTAGTGCGTCTATTAGTGAGTAATTTGATTTGTACCTATTCATTTGCAGTCCCTGCAGGAGCCTGGAGCTGGCCCCTAGTATAATTGGTGCTGTCTCTATTTTTACATCATTAGATTAGCCCCGACTCCTGGCCACTTGTTGTCTGCGCTTGTCTGTCCATTTATACAACCTAATGTAACACAAAATTCATTACTGATCACATTACTTTCAACTCTGAAGCCAGCCTCGTGATAAACATTTGGTTAACCCCTTCCTCCCCACGGGAGAGCTGACAGAACAAATGCACTTCTCCTCGACAGGCAAATCAATATCTTAATACACCAAAGTGGAATTGCATTTCTAGATTTGTTATTCCTCCTGGAGGAGCAAATGGAAAGGCTCGCCTGAGCTAGCTGAATTGAATAATGAATAGAGGCCCGGCACCAGCAGCCAGTCTGCGCACACAGCACAAAGGCACAGCCAGAGGCAGCCCCTCCTGTCTCCTGTGGACAGTGGCACCGTGGCAGTCCACTACCATGGTCACTCTGTCCCCCGCACACCACAGCACGGGGCTCAGAAGCAGCACAGGTGGGGACCCTCAAAGGGCTAACAGAGACTTCACTCCAACACCGTTCCTTCTGCTATACTTGCTCAAGACAACTAGACCAAGAGTCTGCTCAGTTTCCTTGAGACCTAACTGGTGCATTACGACTGGTTGGCTCATACCAGTCTGACGTGTGTGCGTGTCCATAGCTCTCATTCTCTGGTGGGGATGTGTGTGAGCAGTGAGACTCTAACACAGGAATTGGTCAACGGTTTTACAAGGACCTCAGCATAACTCTGTGAAATCTAGAATGTTCTGCCCTAACCCCACCTTGGCTGGCCCTTCCCCAGCCTGCATTTGTCTCTGGGTAGCATCTACACCCACATTAAGTCATTAACTCACAGGACAGTTGATTTCAAAAGGAAAAATACTCCCACTTATTAAGAAACTCTCATAAAGTCTGTACCACAATGATTAGGAAAATAGACACAGAGGAAATAGAATGGAACCCATTACCATGAAAGTCATAAATCCCTAAGTAAAAAGAAGCCATAAACTGAAGACACTCAGGTGGGAAGGGAAGCTGGAAAAAGCAGCCCATCTCTGGAATGTTGACTACAGGGAAGTCCTGAGCAGGAGGCCAAGGAGGAGAGGCCCGAAGCCTGTGGTTAGCCAGTGTCCCTCCCATGAAGCATGCAAGGTCCTGGGTCCTGCCTCCCCTTAAACTGCACAGAGTCCTTGCAAGGCAGAAATGATGAGCAGTCCTGTGAGACTCCTAGAAGTCTGAGGGAGTCCTTGTGAGGACTCAGATGCCGCTCTTGCCCTTATCTGTCAGACCGAGTCCCCAAAAGGGGGTACAGGAAGCCCCATGCAGAGGTCCTGGGAACACAAGTGGGAGGTAAGAAGTTTAGGGGAATTACCTCACCTCACCCCTGGCTATAGGGCCAGGGCTATGGGGGCTTCTTGTCCCAAAGCCTCCAGACTCCACTTTCAAGTGCTTCCTATTGTGAAGAGCTGCAAAGAAAGGATGTCCTGGGCAGGGTACTACCGGACACCCCATGTCTTAGCACAGGACACGAGTCTGAAGTGAGCCCAGGCACAGTGGCTGTCCTATCAGTGCTAGGGAGGAGAAGTGGCTGCCCAACCCCCAGGGTAGTGACTTGTTGGCCTCAGCCTAAACCCTCTCAGGAAGGGGTGGGAAGCTGCATCTCCCACACTGGCCCAGCCTTAGAAGTTCTAGAAACTGGGTAAGAGCACAGGGTTTACCTCACAGACCAGAGCAGACCCGTGACAGAGAAGAGTGAGTCTGCCGGTGGAATGAGGGACTGTGATTTCTTAACCTTGATGAAGCAGGGGGAAAGCCACATCTTACCAAACTCTTCCGCTGCGTCGTAGAGAATTTAATTACGTTTGGACATTTGAATGAGAACCAGATGTGGCTCTGGCCCTGCCGGCCAGCAGCGTTCAAAGTGCAGTGTCTGTCCTGTGGTCTGCAGCCCTGTGTTATCTCAGAAGGCTGGGGGCCAGCTCGGGGAGTCCCCTGCCTGTGGGCTGGGACAGGGGCTTCCAAGTCTCATGCTTGCACTTCAGGAGATGAGTAGGTTCAGGCACCTGGTTTCCGGAGGGTGTTTCCAAATCCTGTCTCCTCCACATACCCATGCCAGATGGGCACAAATGCCAGTGCATGAGACTCCTCTGGCTTGTCATAGCGGCAACACATGAAGTCACATTATGCCTCCTGCCCAGGCCTTCTCTGTCCCCAAGTCATGTCTGCCATGTCTCTTAGCTCCAAATAAATAGATCTACTGAGGCTCTGCTGCCAGTGTTGTGCCCAGGACCTGGAGCTGGAAAGGGCACTTTGGCCCCACCCCTACCCCGCACCCCACCCCCTCAAGATGTGTTGCCCTGGGCCTCAGCCTGATGAAGACACCGAAGTCTTCAGTCATGGTCTCTGGCCAGCGTTCAGCCTCTTAGGGGCCCTTCTTTCCTCATGGGAGCATCACATGCCCAGTGAAGTCTCTAGAACACACTCTTCCCTCTTTTTTTTTTTTTTTTTGCGGAACCGGGGATTGAACTCAGGCCCTTGCGCTTGCCAGGGAAGCACTTATTCTACTGAGCCATCTCCCCGGCCCACACCCTTCCCTCTTTAAAAAAAAAAAAAAAACAGACAGAAGCAAAGTGACTTGCCCAGGTCCTTCAGCACATCTGTGACAGCACTAGACTGGCTCCATAGCAGCCTCCCCCACCTTCTCCACCTCCTCCTGACCATCTCTAGTGAGCTCAGTCAAAGCTGAACTGAGGCCTAGTCACCAAGTACCTCAGACTGGGAAGTGTGAGCCGGTCAGCTCAGCCTTTCTGCTCGCACATCTGGTATGCTCTGACAGGATACTTTGCCTTGGCCAGTGTTTAGAGTTGTATAATGTGGTGGATACGGAGAGCGTCACTGGGTGTGGGCTGCCAGTTGGGGTGGTTTGGGTGGTAATACTGCTGCCCACTTTGAGGCTGGCCTGGGTTTCCTGGAAGTAAGGTGTAGCAGTCCTTCAGCTCAAGTCTTCCCTTGCCTAGGTGTGGTACGGCTGTTGTTGGGGAGGACCTGGAAATAGGCTATAGTTCCCAACCAGGCTAAGGCCCCCTTAAGGCTCCAACCTTACTCACTGTCACTGCTTTTTTAAATTGTGAAAGAGAATCTAGGTGGTCCTGAAGCTGTGCCCCCAGTATATCACACACACACACACACACACACACACACACACACACACTTGTAGGGGTTGAGGCCAGGACTCTGGAGAAGGCCTCTCCTGTGTTCTCCTCACTCCTCAGGCCTCTCCCTCCCCATGTTCTGACATGTACTTCCCTTCGCATCTGTCCCTTTTGGGCCCTCTGGGGATTCAGAGATCTAGCCTATCTTGTGGTGTTAATGCCACATTGGCCTCCTATCAGGACCTGCCTCCCACAGGCCTGAGAACCTTTGTTTTTTACCTGCCAGAGGGTAGAGGGGATAGAAAGAAGGCACCTCTCGCTCCATTCCTCTGGTTGGAATAAAGGAATCAAGAGGCTTTCTACTTGCCCATTGTCCTTTTCTGGTCTTGGTCACCATTTTTGTCTTCTAGGGGCTATAGACACTTGAGAGCGTCTGACTTCTTCTAGGCCTCGGGTCTGCTCAAGCCCCGCTGAGGCTCTAGGGCACCTGTGTACAGCCCCTGTGGCCAAGGAAAGCAATTCCAGCTTCCTGAATCAAGAGCACTGAGATTCACCATCCCAACTGGCAGCTGAGAGTGGAGGCAGGGCTGTCAGGATGGGCCATGGGGACTTGGCCTCCTTCTGTCATGATATTCTGGTCTCTGTACTGAGAAACAAAACTCAGCAAGGAGGGAAAAAAAAATGTGGGAGCCCTATGGGCTGAAAGAGACTGGCCAGGAAGGAGTTACTTGCTGCCCCCAGGCAAGAGGGCTGGGGAGCGCCAGGCTGGGTATGTGCTAAAACACCAGGGTCTATGGCGTCAGCCAGCCAGGGGTCTGGACTCAGACATAGGTGTTAAGCCCCAGAGATAAAAGCGGGCCAGAGATAGCTTTGCTTCTCATCTGTGGCCTGGTTCCAGCTGCCCAAAGCAGGATTCCTATGATCTGAATAGGAAAAACCTTTCATCCTCAGCCTCTCAGCTTCCAGAAGCTTTTCCCCACTCCCCCTTCCTCAAGTATGCCCAGCAAAGGGACAAGGGCCCCTGCTAGAGAAAAAAGGTGATGCCTGTCTCCCCTGGCCTCAGCCCCTAGCCTCTCAGGACCTCACTGGGTTGGGCCAAGAGGAGCCCTGGCCTCCTAAGCTGTGGAGCTTGAGAGGTGCCCAAGAGGGGAGCCTAGAGAGGGGCAGCCAGGGAAAATGTAGGGAAGCCAGGCGGAGGTGGAGAAGGGTGCGCTGAGTGTGGAGAGGAGTGAGCATTCCTGGAGGCTGCCCTCTTTAAAGGCTGCACTTTTAACCTCCTAAAAGTGCCTGGGGGCTGAGGTTGGCTCCTGCCCAAAGTGTGGTCTTGACAGTGCTGTCAGGGTTTAACTGCAGTCTCAGCCCGATGAATGGGTCCCGCAGCTCCAGCCACACTAGAGGCGAGTTAGCAGTTTCCAGCCTACTGGTAAGACAAGTAGCCCCTAGCCATGTCTGCCAAGGCCTCCTCCTCGTTGGCATCTGGGCCAGCTCTCCAGCTTCCAGCCTCAGGAAGCTGCCAACCCTCAACTCCGCGAGACACCTTCAAGCTTCCACACCCACTAGCCTCTTTAAATGCCATTTTGCATAGCTGTTCCCTGGCCCACTTTGCAGGCCTGTTGGAGACAAAATTGCTTGCTTGGGACAGACTCCATCTGAACCAGTTTGCTGAACTTGTAACCATCTTGTCACCCCCAGTCTCTTCATCAGATAGCCCATTAAGGGAAAATACAGAAACCTCTCACCTCTTAATGAGAGGACCACCCCACCCCACCCCACCCCACCCCCGCCTCACACACACCTGTCTCCCCACCCAGGGGCCCTCAAGCAGAAGGCTGTTGTGTTTGTCACCAACCTCTGAGCCAGGCTCTCTGGGCAAGGCAGGCAGTGTGGCTGGCTGCCCTGTGCTGTGTGGCATCCACTCCCCTGGGCTGCCATCAAGCCCACCCCAGGCAAGGGTCCTAACCACAGCCCCTGCTAATGTGGGAGAACTGGAGGTGGAGGCAGGCGGGAAAAAAATCAATGCATGTCAACAAGGCTGGAAATTTATTTGCCATCTTAGAAGAGGGTGTTAGCAAAGAGGCAGGGAGGAGAATGAGAAGCTGTAAACACATATCTGCCATCTACCTCCCTGAACCATTTCTTGATTAAAAAAAAAAAAAAAGTGCCAGGCTCCAGTGGAGGTGGAGCTGGCAGGGTCTGGATGACGAGGCACCTGCTGCGGAGGGAGGCTAGAGGGGGACCCAGAAGTCCTGTGGATAATCACAATGACTAATTCAATTGCGACAATAATAGTAACTCGCATTTGCTGACTGGAAGCTTTAAGCACTTTGTGCTGCTCTCTACATGCATTATTTAATTTCATTCTTACAACCAGGCTATGAAACAGACATTGTTATCGTCACATTCAGGAACTGAGGCACAGAGATCTGAGTAATTCACCCCAAGTCTCCCAGAAAGCAGGTGGCCAGGCTTGGGTTCCCAGCTGCTTCCTGAGGCTGCCTCCTCCGACCTGGGCAGGCCCTCTGCCCACCTGCCTCCTCAGGCCAAGGCTGGTGCACCCGCCGGAAGTGGGCAGGGCCATGGGGCAAAGGGTTCCTCCTCCCCCACCGGTCTAATCCCACTCCCACAGGGCTGCTTGGGTGGTTTGCTTAGGACTTGAGTGTGTGGCTGTAGCCAGGGCCCAATAAAAGCTGGGCTAATCCCTTTAATGAGCAGCATCTTGCCGCCCCTGTACAGAGCAGGGCTGGCTGGAGCCTTGGAGGAAACCAGAGGGGCCAGGCAGTACATGCTGCTTCTTACGTGGTGGCGGAAGTGCCAGGCTGCCCTGAGGCTAAGCCATTGCTCCAGGTACCCTCTTCCCAAACATGGGCACTGTCCTCACTGACCCTCAGAGCCCCAGACACAGACCTTCATCTAGGCCCTGAGGCAGGGTCGCTACAAGACTAGGCTCTCTACCAGAGGCCAGAAGAGCCCCCTGAGGCTCCCAGACCCAGTAGACACCCAGTCCAAGGTGCAGCTTCATTTCTGGCCCTCTGCTGGGGTCACCCACCCACTTGAGCATTCCCAACTTGCTCCAGTTTTCACTCAGTGTCCAGTGTCTCCCTCAGTGCCCAGTGTCCTCAGGGGTTCATGCCCGCCTCTCCAGGGAACAGGGCAACCGGAGAGCACATTTGCTCAGTAAAGCAGCTACTATGTGAAAGGAGACTTCTGTCCACACATCCCCACACCACTATGCTCACCAGTGCCAGGAGCCAGTCTCTGCTGCTGGCACCTTCGCCACCACAGGATGAAGGGCAAGTGCTTCCGTGTGGGCAGTCATGCCTGGCGTCCTCACCCAGAACCCTCCTGTCTCTTCCCAACACTGTGAAGTAGCCAGACTCATTTCACCTTGACAAGGCCAGCCACCTGTACGTGCCTCCACACCTAGGCCCTGTGGCCTGCCTGGCCTGGCCTGTGGCATGGAAGGGCAACAATTTCCAGTAAGGCAGCAGGAAGCAGGTGGACACAGCTAGTGGTAGGCACTGGCGCCAGGCTTAGTGGTGCTCGAGTTGTTGGAGCTGTTGGCTTGGCCAGCGCCACTTCCCCTTCAGCGGCCTGGGACCCAGGGCCAGTGCTGCTCCTTCACCCTCAGCTTTGCTGTCTGACTCCCAGGAGCACCAAATCCCTGAAAATGTGGGTTCACATTGGATTTTCTCATGTGCTGGTGTGGCCACTTCCCTGGGCTTCCAGCTCCACAAGCCCTGCCCCACTCAATGGCCCTCAAGAGCAAGCTCTCTTAGAGCTAACTTCTCCACTGCCACAATCTCCAGACTGCTAGGTGAAGGTATCTGAGAACCCTCTCCTGGACTCGGGCAGGCTCCTGACAGGCCTCTCCCAAGCTATCCCTACCTCAGGAGAGCTCCTCAAAGCTGGGGCCTTGGGGGTGGGGCAGCCAGAATTGTGTGTCGCCTGTCTTCTCTCCCAGCCACCCGCCTGCATGGGGCCCTATCTGCACTGCATGGGCCAGAGGTCCCCCTCCGTCCCGTTCCAAAACTGTTCTCATGCCCCGTGTGTGACTTTTCCTCTCCTAGCCCCATACTGAAGTGGTTCAACAGATCTGCTCTGGGACTCCCCCAAGGCCCACCAGTCCCCCCAGCTGCCTACATGTGCATGTTACCATCTTCCTTGACTGCAGAATCCCGCTGCAAGCTCCCCCTCATCCCGGTGTGACACCCCCAGTGCCCCCTTACACCCCTCCACCTGCTTGCAGAGATCACTGTACTTCTCAATCATTGTCCATATCTTTTCCACAAAGATTCCTCAATGCTTTTCTTTCCAAAAGGGAAAAAAAAAGGAAAAAAAAAACAATGCCAACAGCCCAGCGTCCGTGAGCAACCCAACAGTAACAAAGCATGCGTTCGCGATGGAGGAAGGTAAGGCCGCACATTTCCATTTGCCGCTTGCTCCTAGGGCTGGGCGCTGGGATGACTGGAAGTGGGGATCCTGCGTGCACCCCTCCTCCACATCCGCTTCCACACAATTTCACTCTTCGTCTTTAGGGGGAAGGAGAGAGGAGGGGCCTCACAGAAGGCACATAGAAAGTAGACTCCAGGTTCTTGTTCTGTTCCTCGGTGCCCTTTACCACATCATTCATTCATCATTCCAGAAGTGAGTTCTTAGCACTGGCTATTTTCCAGGACCTTTGATTGCCACTGGAGATACAGAGATAAAGCACAGATTGTCCCCCCTCAAAAAAAAAATAGGGCCTCTCCAGGTGTGGAGGAGGAGGCACACCTGGGCGTTTTCAGGGCCTGACTAGCTGTCAGCATGGAGCTGGGTGGGGCCAGGCCAGCCCTGAAAGGGAAGGGGACGAGCTTGTGGGGGCATGGATACCCGCGCATGAGCAGCAGGTGTTCTGGGGCCCAGGGAACTGAAAGTCATCTGTACCTGGGAGGTGGGCTGTGGAAGGTTGTTCGTTAGAGCTGGGTTGTTAGACCTTCTCTGTGGGCCTGTGGAGTCACTGACAGTCTTTAAGGAGAGGAGAAGCATGGTGGGGTGTGTGCTGCAAAAGAAGATTCTGTCCTGTTGGGGGTGGGGATGCGGGGCACTGTGGGGACTGGAGGTCGGGAGGCCTGGGTGGCATTGGGAGGTGCGCTGGAGTACTCAGCAGCCCCTTGGTCGTCCTGGGAGCTGGGGACCAGGGAAAGCCTGCCAGCCTCCATCTGACCCAAGCCCAAGTGGTGAGGAAGTAGGAGCAAGGCAGCTCAGGCTGCAGAGCCGGCCGCTGGGAAACAGCGCATTGGCCTTGCAGCCCCTTGCAAAGAGTCCCTGCACTGAAACGGGATGCGACCACTCAGACTCGCGTGCTGGGGTCACTGAGGCTGCTGGGGTGTTTCTGGGGCTGTGACAAGGGGCTGGGCAGTGCCATGCTTGGTTCCAGCTCAGGTCTCCGCTTCTTGGGCAGTGTGGATGTGTCACCTTTTGCACCCAGACCGCTGTTGCTGCCCCTCTGCTCTGGCCAGGCATCGCCTTTCCCCATACCAGTAGCCTTCCCTGCTCCTTCAGCTGGGGCTTTCTCACCCAGGCCTGTTGGTGTCCAGATCCTGAGAAAGCCCCTGCCTTTCCTGCTCCTGCCGGGCTCCTTTCCTGCCGTGCTTGCCCTGCTGTCAGCGCCCCCTAGTGCCAGGTTGTCTGCGCAGGAAGGCAGGGGCCTCTGAGCTCCCCACACTCTTTGGCTGGCTTGTGAGGAAAGTGGAGAAGGAGGCACTGTCAGAGTCTGAAGCTTCTATGATGAACAGCCAGGGTCTACTCTTTGCTTTCTCCTCTTCTCTCTCTCACAGCTCAATGGCCGTACCCCTAAATGACAGTGGTACTGAAGAATGGGCAGGCAGAAGAGCTCCTTTGCAGCAGCTTCCTGCCTTGTTTCCTGAGCACACCTAGCTCTCTCTTGATTTCCCCAGGATTGATGCCCACAGGGCACCCAGAGTCTCTTGGAGACTCAGCCTTCAGCCTGTGTCCAGGCCCTGCTTCCCACTGCCCGCAATCTGCTTCGAGCTTCTGGTGTGCCTGCATGCTCCAGCCCAGGCCATCCCTGGATGGGACTATCACAGCCTGAGGGCCCCTCACACCTCATCCGGGCACCTCCTTTCCCCTGCTTCACTGTGTAACACAGCTGCTAGACAGGCGTAGTGCTTTAGGGCATGGGGGTCAGTGGTTTGTTCCACTGTGCTGGCTAGTGATGGCCAGCCCAGGAATGAAGACCATGACCTATGCGTTCTCTAACCAAAGCCAGCTGGGCTGCATATGTATGGTGGCAGGGCCTGAAGCTGGTGTGGATGAGAGATCAACGCCTGAAGCCAAACCAGATGGGAGTTGTTACGGTGGGCACACCTAGCTATTGCAAGTGACTGCTCTGAGGTCCTGCGCTCCTGAGAAAGCTGGAAACCTCTGCCCCCAGCCCCACCCCACCATCACAGGCACACCTTGGGGAAGCCTACACTGCAGGCTTCCTTGTGGCTTGGTGCCGAGATTGCCAGGCCCATGCACGTCCACATCGCAGAACCATAGAGGTGGCTGGGAGTGGGGCCTGCTCACCATCAGAAAGCTAAGAAGGGCTTCATTCAGCAGGCAGAGAATCCTGTTCCAACTTCCTGCCTTGAGTAAAGAGATGCTGGGTAGTAAAGTTACCTTAGCTGAATAAGATGGGCCCAGCTGCCATTTCCAAAATGGGGACATGGATGTGCACAGCCTGGGGAAGAAAAGAGGTGCCCTGAGCCTGCCTTAGGGTTCAGACCGAGCTTTCCATTCTGAGGGGCTCTAAAAGACTTGGAGGCAAAGAGAAAGGGAAAAAAGGAAGCACTCAGTCAAGCAGGGACCCTCTCTCCATGGTGTAGGCACCACACAAAACAAAATCCTTTCCACTTCCGAGGATAAGCCAAGTTCAGCCAGTGAGTCCACTGTATGGGCGGGGCAAGGAAGGAGGACAGACACTGCTCCGCAGGGAAGCTCCACCTGCCCCTGCCCTGGCTTCTCTCCACTCACCTCACTTGTAGATCCAAGAGAGTGGATCCTTGACTTAGGGGGGCATCCCAGCTTAACATGCTAGGTCTGTAGGCCACACGCCCCATAACTATGTCTCTAGACAAATCATCAAGGAGGCCATACTTCCTGCTTAAAGGATTTCTGCACAGTGAGGGAAAGACCAAGGTCTGACACTCAAGTCTGCCAGCCAAGGGATCATCTCCCTCCCGCAACAGAGTCTTCCTGTGGCCGGAGCCCCATCTGGCCCATCTAGGGAGCAGAGGGGAGCCCCCACGCAGGAGGATATAAATGCAACCAGAATGGTATCTCAAAGTGAGCAGCCTGGCCCAGGGCGCACCTCCACCCCTGCTGCCCCGCTCTGACCAGGCCTGGCCCTCTCTTCTGTCTTGCAGAACTTCAGCGAGAGGGAAGCATCGAGACTCTGAGTAACAGCTCTGGCTCCACCAGTGGCAGCATACCAAGGCACTTTGATGGCTACCGATCTCCGCTCCCCACCAACGAGAGCCAGCCCCTCAGCCTCTTCCCCACCAGCTTCCCGTAGGTGTCAGCTACCTGCTTCCCACTGGCTGGTCCACACCTGCTGGATGGAGGGGAGAAGCGCCCGCAGCCCTGCCCTCAGTCTCTGCTCCTCTTTCATCACCTGCCTACCACAAGCTTAGTGACAGTAGCCACTGTCCCACCTGGATGGAGAAGAGGCCTGTCCCCAGAGCACCTGAGCTCGATGCACCCTGCCCTTTGCGACCGTCCTGGGGAGCTGTGGCCAGGAGAGGCTGCAGCGGCTCAGTCCCCTTCTCCGTTTGCACATGTTCCACTCATGGACTTGCTTTTGTATTTTCTAACCATACCCACATGGGGCCTAGAACAGTGATCAGCTCTTGGAGCCTGGACAGGGACAGGGTAGATGGTCCAGCCAGGCATTTGGGCCATGACTGGATAGTCTCAGCCCCAGCCCACTCCAGGCTGTGATACGTGTGGCCCCCGGTTTCCCTGGCTCAGTCCCCTTCTAGTATGGGGTGAACTGAGGTCCAGAGTAGGAGGCGGAAGGGAGGGAGAAAGGGCAATCCTCCTTGCTTTCCGCAGTGGCTCATGGGAAGAATTTGTCTTTCTTTTCTTTAAGCCCTTTTACCTTGGTCTATACTGTTCAGTGAAGAAAACTGTGGTTACTGAGGCCCTGTTGAAAAGTGCACGTCTTGTCCAATAAATCATGCTGCAATTGGTGTCCATCCCTGAGTTGCTGGGGTCAAGGTCCTCTCCAAATACCCAGCAGAGTCCTGTGGGCCTGACCATGGGCCCCAGCTCCCAGCACCCCTCAACACATGTGACACCTGGGGGGGGACCGAATGGAAAATAGTAAGGAAGAGGAGCTCTGCTCTCCCTTTTGGGGGGGGTTTGATTTGAGTCCATTTGCCAAGTTTCTTGCCTGGTAGAGCAGATGAAAGGCGGGCAGGGGCTGGGCTTGGACTCTGTCTTCTGGGGGCCATCAAATGTGTCCCCTGACATTCGGTAAGTTGCTATGGGAAGAGAACTTGACCCAATCCCTGGCCTTGTCTTCAGAGTACCTTGGAATTGTCTCTCTTCAAGCTCAGAAGATGTGAGAGTAGTCAAGTGGAGGTGAGCGTGTCATGGAAGCTGGCCAGCACCTGATGACAAGTTCCTTCCTCCTACCAGTCTGGACCTAAGTGAACAGCAGCTAAGGGATGTGCAACAGAAAGGTTAATGCTGGTCCTAGTCTCCCCTTCCCTGGCCCATACTCCAGACACCACAGAAGGCCTTGGACAATAGACAGAAACCCACTAAGTAAGCTGCAGTTTGGGGGTGAGGTGTAATGGAACAGTGGAAGAGCACTTGAGATCACAGGCGAGCAGGCCTTGGGCTCCCTGTCCAGCTGGGCCCTGCCTCCTTTACACACTGTGCCCCACTCCTGGTGCCTGAGAAGAGATTTAATCTTCAGTCCTCTCCGCAGGTTGGTTGGGCATATGGGGCAAAGGTGCCTGAATCACACTGGTTTTACAGGCTGAGAAACCCCCTGCATGGTGAGGAGTGCCAGAAACAAGGTGGGCCAGCTGGTGACAGTGGCTGCAGGAGCAGCAGCTTGTCTCCACTTTGGCTGCACTGGAAATACTGATGTGCCTGGCACTGCCCCCACTGGCAGTTAGAGAAGCATTTCAGTCAAAAGGAGACAAGGGCAAGGATGTCACCAGGCTGCCTGTACATACTGTACATGGCCTGGCCCCCGGGGATGGGTCCGGAAGCTCCCAGAGGCATGAGCCCTTCTGTGCCCACACAGGGAACTGACAGTCAGCTTGGAGTTAGGAGTCTTCCCAGCCCAGCCTTTCCTCTCCAGTAGGGGCAAAACAGCTGTGGCCTCCTCCAGTCAGGGAAAGTGGTGGGTGTAGGGCTGGACATGCTGGCTGAGCTTGCAGGACAATCTGGTTATTCATCTGCTCACAGTCAGGGCACTTCTTTGAGTATGTGGGGGAAGGGTGGGGATCAGAGAGCCCAGATAAGCTGGCCCCAGGGCGGCTGCCACTAGAACTCAGGTTATCAGAAAGGCCCTCCGCCTGGCCCCAGGCTAATTGGGAAGGTTATAGACCCTGCCATAACCTGTAATCAGCTGGAAGTGAGAGCCAGGCCCCAGGGCGGGGGACCTCACTGCCCACTGGCCCTGGAGCAGCCAGCCTCCTGTCCTCCACAGATAAGATCCAGGACAGTATCCACCACCGACCCCCATAATCCAAGCAGACCTCATGATAGCATTACCTAGAAAGTATCAGAATATGAATCTAATTGTGCCCAGACTTGGTGACCTTGAGGAAGCCACGTGGCCTTCCCCCCCCCCCCCCCCCCGCGCCCGCAAGCACTACCTGCTCAATGGGCAAAGTACTGTGGACTCCTCTGATGGAGGAAAAGTATTTTCATGATCTGAAAAGAGGTTGATGGGAGCTGGGCTGCAACTCAGAAAGGACAGCGCTGTCTGGGACTAATGTGAAGAAAGACCCAGTGGTTCCAAAGCAGGTTTAGACACAAGCACCACAACAGGGCCAGCTGTTCTGCAGGCAGGGAGGCCAGGGCCACATCCACAACTGGGGCTGCTTTCTCTGGGCTAATTTTTCATTGTGGAAGATCAGAGACTTTGTAAAACTAGAAGGTACCTAAGAATGCTCTTGGGTCTCTGGTATGCAGATGACAAGCCTGAGTCCCAGAGAAGAGCAAGGCCTTGCCCAAGGAGTGACACAGCGAGCTGGCCCCTGTGTACACCTTGCTGCCTCACATGCCCCCACCAGCTCCCTTAGAGTGGCACGAATCCAAGCTGGCTTCCCTGACCTCAGCTCCCACAGGCCTCACTCCACTGGCCCTTGCGCTGTGCCCTTCAAGCTTCCATCGCAGATCCCAGACCGGAAGCTCTTGCCCCCTCGCTGTGTTAACAGAGAAGCAGCCCCTCTTCAGACCAGCACACATTTGCCCTACAGACAAAGCAGGAAAGTTTCCTGTACATCTTGTGTTCATAGCAAGAGCCCATCAGAGAGCAGAGGCCCTGGAGTATCCCTGAGCCCTTCCTCCAGAGCAGAGCTCTGAAGCAATGGCATTATCGCCTTCTAAGGAGTGGAGCTGGGTGTGCTCTCAAGGTCCCAGGGCCCTATTTCAGCTCTGTCACCAGTAGCCATGGGACCTTGGGTGAAAGAATGCACCACTGGGCTTCAGAGTCCTGCCTGTACAAGAGAGGAATGGGGAACAGGAACAGATCAACCGTTTAGGCAAAGGCTAAGCTGCAGGTCAGAAAAAGGGGGGGGGGACTGGAGGTGCTCAGCCTTATAGTCCAGGTCAGGTAGCTCACTGGACTAGAACATGGGAGGGTCTGTGGTGGCTCATCTGGCATCAAAACTGGCCCCACAATGCCGCTTCAGAGAATCCCAAGGCAAATCAACTTCCTGGGGAGCAGCTGGCAGGCAACCAGCTCCTCCCCTCTGTCTCAGGTGGGCCGGTGCTAGAGGGTCTTTCCTGAGCTTTACCCCCTCTCTAGTCACTCAGCAGAATGCCAGACCCCTGCATCCCATCTCCTGCTGCACATGTCCATGCACACACAAGTGCAAGACTCTCGCACCTCAATTTTACCAACCCCCGCCTCCCAAACAGACAACTGTGACCAGTGAAACCTCGGCCCAAAGCAGTGAGTCTGCAATACCTGGGATTATTGATACCCTAAACTCTGGGAACTTGCCCAACGTCGGACAGGGACACATAGCCTGGATTCCTCTGCTGACACAGGACCTCTCAGGTGCAAAGCAGCGTCCCTGAGACGCAAGTCTTTCCCGGCCCAGCTCAGTCAGGTTAGGTTGGTCCTCTCCTCTGCATCATCCTGGCAAACACGGGCCAGATCCAACTGGAGGAAGCGGCCTGCCGGCCGCCAGTCGGGGTCCAAGACCGAGGCCAGGAGGGGGTCGGGCCACCCGCTTGCCGCATCCCCCGCCGCCCCAGCCCATTGGTCCAACGCTGTGCAGGGTAATTGGGGAGGGAGGGAGGCGACCGACGGGCGGCGGCTCCAGAGAGACTGCGCGCCTGTCAGCCACAATTTGTGTAAGTGGACGGGACAGGCCAGGCCACTGCGGGCTGGGGTCACTGGGGCCGCGGCCCACACCCTGGCCAGACCCTGGACCGCAGGGGAGCCCCGCCGGGCCGCTGAACTGGGCTGGCTGGCGCCAAGGCACTGGGAGACGCGGTCCGGCAGAGAAGCCCGGATGGGAAGCAGCTCTGTCATAGGAGTGTCTCCCCGCGTCGAGACGTGCCCAGTGGCACCCATAGCTGGTCAACCGCCCAGGACCACACAAGTCACCGAGCTCGGTCCTGGCACATTCATTCCCGTCGCGAGCTCAGTGCCAGGCAGCGCCTGGCCACTCGCAGGCACGTCGGTCCCTTCGACCTCAGGGACTGAGCGCGCCCGCTGCCACCCACGCCTCGCGGGCTCACGCAGACCCACGCCAGTCACACAAGTGAAGACACCACGGACGCTGCCACTCTGGGATCCACCCAGGGGAGGTCCTGCGGTGCTCCTCGCCCCTGCAAGAGATGACATAGCCAAAGGACAGACATGATCAGGACTGCACCCCCATCCCGCCCGGGTCGTCTGCGCCTGACTTTGTCGTTTCGGGAAACGCGGCGCGCACGGACCACGCGCAGTGGGCTAGAGCCGCAGGCCGCGCCGCTCCGACGCCCAGGCCCGACCGCCCGGAGAGGGAGGGGCGGCTGCGCGCGTCCCCCGCCCGTCTGCGGGGCCCGAGCGATGCGAAGTGACAGGGGCCGGAGCTTTGTTGTGGAACCTCGGCCGCCTGGCGCCAGCCGCCCCCGCCCGTGTCCTCCCCCTCCAGCCCTGGGCGGCCCGCGAGGCGCCCCCCGGGGCCTCTTAAAGAGACACTCACACTCGGCCCCGGGGACTCCCCCAGGGGCGCCAATTCCTGGGAAGGAGGAGGGGGGGTGGACTCAGGCCCAGGAGGGGAGGGGCGGGAGCTGGGAGCCTCACGGCGCCACTCCGGGGCTGCCTTGAATCTCCTAGCTGGAGATGGAGCGGGGGTGGTCAGTACAGAACCTTAGAGCAATAACTGCAGGACCTGGGGTGATTGCAGACCGGTGGCGCGAGGCAGATGGTGGGATCCTAGGCCGAAAAGCAGCTTGTGACCGCCGCTGTGCAGGGTACTGGTTATGTAGATAGGGCGGACACCCCAGTACTGCATGGTCGCCACTGGGTTTCTTGGGCAGATAACCCAAGCCTGCGTGTTTCTAACTCCCTGGTCTTCTGACTCCATTACCAGCTACGGACTCTACCCAAGAAAAATGTCCAAAATGCATGCACTTAGATGTGCATGTGCACGCATTTTTACCAGCACAAAAGTACATGTCGTGCTTGTGCTAGCGTACAGAGAGAGAGAGAGAGAGAGAGAGAGAGAGAGAGAGAGAGAGAGAGACTTTGCAAATGTATCTAGGGATTTCCAGGCTCATACCTGAACACAGACTCAGGAAAGCTGCTCTGAGTATCATCTGGTCACTTCACCAACCATGCAAGTGTGGCCACACACCTCCCTCCCCAAGGGGCTGCATCCTGTCTAGGCTGGAGATTGCACAGTTGCCACGGATCACTCCCCGGTGGCGTGGACCGTGCTGCATGCAAAATTCACTTTGAGCAGTCCAGGTACTAAGAAGAGTGCGATGGTAAAGAAAACCCTATGGGGCCAGCGCCCACGTGTACCGGGCGATAAGGAATTACAAGGGCTTGGATTTGGCTTTAAAAAGTACAAGAAGAAGGGGGGAAAAAGGTCGAAGGGGCCAAATCTCTCCTGCAGATCCCAACCCACACCTGAGGGAACGATGGCTTTTACCAGCCTGAGTGAGCGCCCAGCAACTGGTCCCCATGCCAGGTTGCGCAGAGGGCAGGCGGCTGCGGGTCACAGCCCGACCTGGGAGTGTGCGCCACTACGCGGGCACCCGGCCCAGGAGGGTTGCAAGCACAGATCGGCTACTCGAATGGGAGTGTCACCCATGGCCCGTGCGGGCTTGAATTGTCCCTCGGACCACGACTCCAAGGAGTCAGTCCAAGAATCCGCCCTAGTTCGATTTGGGGCAGGTGTTTGGTGGTTTTTTTTCTCTCAGGGTACACCTGGATTATGTCTTTCGATCTGCACAGAGGGCACGAAACACACACACACACACACACACACACGCTCACCCCGCGGCGTGGGGTGGGATCCTGGGGCTCACAGAAGACAAGGCAGGAGAGCACTGATTGCGCAGGGGGATTTCACCCACAGGAGTTCAGACGCCTGGACTCCCGCACTCTTGAACTTGGAGACCTGCGCTCCTCAAAGACGGAAACAAACTATAGACAAGTGGCTGGGAGCCGAGACAGGATGCCGGTGTTTAGTAAAAGGAAGACTTGAGACCCCAGTACCGGATGCGGCGAAAATTCGTTCGGTCGCGGTTGGAGGACCTGGCGTGTGGGGTCAGCTCGTGCGGTAGGCGAAAGTGCGCTCCCCTGCCCGGCCCGGCCCGGCCCGGAGCACCCGCGTCGCGGGCGCCGGGGGCTGACACGGACCAGCCTCGGGCTGAGTCCGGGGCCCGTCGGCGACGCCGGTCCCTCCCAGGTCTTCCTGTGTGGCGAGGCGCGGGTCCGGGCTCCCGCGTTTGCCCGGCGCAAGGCCGCGTCCCTCCCGCCCGCGCGGGCCCCACAAGGGCTGTGCCGCGGCTCCACTCACCGGCTCCCGCCACCTGGGTTCCGCTCCGGACCTCAGCCGCCCGAGCCTCCCGATCGCCCGCCCACCGGCCTCGCTTTCCAGCGCTCGCAGCCTCCCTGTGGAGCGCGGGGACTCGGGCGGCGACCAGGAGCCAAGTCGGAGGCCAGGCTGGGGCGCCGGCCGGAGCGGCCGGGCTTCCGGTCGCGGGAGCAGGAGGGCGCCCCCTCTCCTCTCGGGGACGTGTCAATGCTTTGCACTTGGGGCCCGCATGCGGCTAGGGGTCCTTCCCTGAGGCCTGAGGCCCCGGCGCCCCCGCCTCGGCCCTTTCAGCGGGTCAGGTCGGCCCTCCACGCTTCCCAGTCCGGGTGCAGGAGCCGCGGGCGCGGGCTGCGGGGTGGGGGCCCGGCCAGGGGGAGGGGTCTCGGGCCCGCCAGGCCGTCATTGGTTAATATTTTATTCCGTTGACATGTTTTCTTACTGCTGAGGCTTCCGACACCTTCTCCCCGGCCCCCCCTCCTGGCCGGAGCTTGGCCTGAGCTGTCAAAACCCCGCCCCCGGAGACCCACAATTGGTCCAAAAAGCGTAAAATCAGCAATCAAGGGGGGCCTGGCTCGTTAGCGCAGGGGATCCGAGCAGGGCAGGGCATGTGAGATAGTCACAGTTTTCCAGAGATCACGACAAGATCTAACCAGTCGCGCGTGGTCCCCGGCGCCGGAGCGGGCCAGCCCAGCCCAGCCCAGCCCAGCGCAGAGCCCCCTCCGCCCCCGCGCCCGGAGCCCCGCGCCCCG